GGGGGGGGGGGGGGGGGGAGGATAAATATGCTCCATTAAAGATGGGATGCGTGAGGAGTTGGTAGGTGGATTTGGTAATACGTTTTAATGATTCCTTCTTTCTGTTTCTCAGGTTTATTGTTTCTGGAAGCCAGTGCAAAAACGTAAGAACTGCCTTAAAGTTTGAGATACTGCAAAAATGTTCACAGCCCTTTTGTTACATTACAACCTCAAACTTCAGTGTCTTATTGGGACATTATATGATATAAATGAGATAGTATGTGATTTGGAAGAGTTTAAACGGCATGCATACATACATTTGAACCTTTATAACAAATTAAAAACCTGAAAAGTGTGGCTTGTTGGTTATATAACTAATTACACTTCTCATCTTAATTTCATTGCAGTAATGACAATATTGCGATTTCATATTTTCCTATCTTTTCTAGCTTTACATATGTGAACGCTGAACATCTTTCCTATTTTATTTGGCTCATTTGGACTTTGACTGGACCATTCCATCCCATGAGTTTGCTTTATTCTAAACTGTTCTTCTGAAGGTCAGCCTCAGTCAGCACCAAGAAAGTTTTCAGTCAGAATTGCTTTGAGCTCTCATCCATCTTTACCTCCCCAACCTCTGACCAGAGCATGATGCCACCACCACCGTGTTTTACCATGGGAATTGTGTGTTACATACTAGTTATCCATCAGTAAGTAAGTCAAAAAAGTAAAAATCTGGTATCACCTGACCAAAGTACCTTCTATTTTTTTGTGGTACGAGTTTTCCCGTTCTTTCGCAGCAATCAGTCAGGAACAGGAAGGAGAAATATTAAACCACGCATCTTTTTCCTTCCACTTCACAACGATGCTCTCCTTTTCCTGGTTCTGGTGGATCATATGAAATTGCTTGTGGTTGTAATGTGACAAAAGACCCTGTGCGATCTTGACCTTTTTCTGCATTTTGCCTTTTCGGCTTCACGTGACTGTACCTTTTCTCTCCAGAGGTGAAAACGTTGAGGACGCCTTCCTTGAAGCCGCTAAGAAAATCTACCAGAATATCCAAGATGGCAGCCTGGACCTGAACGCCGCCGAGTCAGGGGTGCAGCACAAGCCCTCGGCGCCTCAGGGCGGTCGGCTAACCAGTGAACCCCAGCCCCAGAGGGAAGGTTGCGGCTGCTAATGACCAAGCAAAAGCCCCACAGCTCCGCCCCGCCCGCGTTCCTCCCTTCTTCTTTATCCGTTCTGCCCGGCCTCCCTTGAGCAACCCCTCCATCCATTCCGACGCCTTCGTACGTTCATCCCTCACTGCACCAGGAGCTGTGTGAGAGCAGGGCTGCGGAGGAAAGGCAGGGCGAACATCGACTTAACGCCAGACCGAGCTGGACTGTGTGGACTACATCTCTCCCTCGTCCTTTTGCCCGTCTCTCTCTTTGTTGCCGTCTCACTCGTCCTAAAACTGTCCGTGTATTTCTGTCCCATAACGCCGCTGTTCCGCTCCCTCCCCCACCCCCCCGCTCAGTCGTCCTCCCTCCCATCAGTAGGATTTGTAGGTGGCACCACGAGTTACTGGTCACTGACACTTTAGATAGACTCAATGTTCAATCGATAATAAAGCAAGACTGTTTTTTTTTATGTTTGGTTTTATAGAAATATATAAATATGAAATATACACACTGCAGAAGTTTGACGCGCCACTTATCAGTTTTGTTTAAATTGAATCTGAATGATATTCCCAAGCTCTTCAAATTTACGATTCTTTTCACCGCATCATGCAGATAAGAGATGTTTCATTTGAGCGAGGGCAGGAGGTCATAAAGTAATTTATTAATCAGCCACACGGGTAGCTCCAGATGGTATGAGTAGTTGTTTTTTTTTGTTTTGTTTTTTTTCTCCCTCTGCTTAGCAGAGAAGTAATTTTTTTCAGTAACTCATGAGAGATGCAATGAAGGAAACTCATAAAAAATAAATGGCCACAATAAATGTTAGGAATTGCCTTCTTATTGCTATCTTTTGAAATCTTGCAAAAAGTTTTTGGTGTTTTCCAACTGGAATGAATTACAGTTGGCTGGATGGATGTCCTTTTCTTTCTTTTTCCTTCATTTTTTTTTTAGACTCGGATGTCACTTTAATCACAATTCCCATCACTTTCTTCTTCAGCTCCGCCCTCATGCATCCGACCCCCAAAACTCTCCCCTCACTATCATGTCAACACGTCTTTACCAGCATTTGTTTTGTCATCGTTGCCTTATTATAGTTCTTTTTTGATGCACTTGTTCTTGACGCTACCCTGATTGAATAAAATTTCTCTTTTAGGATCACTATTACATTCTACACTCATTAAATCACAATTATTTGGGTCTTTTTTTTTTTTTTTTTTTCCCCCCCCCAAAGCTGCACTGAAGAGCCGATTTATCTGGAGACTTGTTAGTCTTCCTCATGTAACCAACACAAAGCAGCATGCGTCCCCCACTCGAAACATGAAGTTGTAAAACAAAAATGTTTACTTCCTTTCAAGTACAATTTCTCTGTAACATAGCAGTCGCCTGACTGAACAGCTGTATATATCTTGCTTCTTAACTGCTGGTGATGACCTTGCTACTGTACTTTGGTTTCAGAAATTTATCTGGTGGCTCTGCCAAGATCTGTACAGTTGGTGTGCTAGTGGGTTGCCTGTAATTCATGCTTGGGGAAATTCTGTAACATAGTTTCTATTAATAAATGTATGTAAAGGACAGACCCGGACAAGCCCCCGTCTCCCATTAACCTGCCCATCTGCACACTACCGAGTTAGCCGACACAACGAGGGGGAGAGAAACTGGTTTGAGGTATGCAGGTTGTATTTATGCCAGCAATTCTGCATCATTTCTGTATAGATTAGAGAACGGGGGCGTGTTTGTGTTCATGGTCAGCTTTATTTTTCCACCCCATCAAGGCTGCTCCCTGCCGGAGGGAGGGAACGTCACTGTCTTAACTATTTTGGGGAGCAGGGATTGGTTCTTCATCGTGGGTGGGGCGGGCTTCCTTTCTCTCTCCCCGCCTTCCATCTCTTTACCGTTTGAGTGACCACTTCCTGCTTTGTCTGTCCACAAGTAAAAAGGAAAAAAATAATAAAAAAAGCAAAACAAAAACAAGTAAATATGTATAAATTTTTAAGAAGCTGTGCTAACATTTAAATGCGTTCTTTGCGTGTATATGATTTTAAAATGTTGACATTTTGATTTTAATGACAAAATACTCTAGTCAGAAAAAAATAAATTATACATAACCTGACTCTCTGTGTGTGTCCTTTTTAAGATGTTGACATGGATAAATTAAAGGGGCAGCATCATTACCTTAAGTTATTAAAAAATACTCTACATATCTAAAGCAACTCAAATTTGACTTTGTATTTTGAAATTAGGCCTCTGTCTCTTCCAAAAAAAAGCTTCAACAGTCCCGTCTTTGTCATGTCCTCACAACAACCTCTCCATTAAGCCTTTTACATCGTACTTTGGCTTGTTGGACTGAGAAATAGTTAATATATCAAACTCTGCTGCTAGCCTGAAGGAGCTGAGCGGGGGAGCGATGCTCTGAAGCGGATGCTGGCAGATTAAACCCCCAAAGAGGAGCTGAACGAAAGATGGCGCTGGCTGCCAATGAAGATTCAAGGATTTGTCAAACATCCTGGTATGTTTTTGACGAGGAAATAACATGATATAAAGCTCAAAAAAGTGATATTATGCATTTAAAGTCCAGCGTTGACTATCGTCAGTTTCTGTCTGGGTTCTTATAACACCTTCTTTTGCGTCTTTTTTTTCTGGAGCAGAAGGAAACCAAGTCCAGTCCTCAAGAGATGTTGACAAGGAACTTTTAGGTGCGACCCTGCTTAAACACACCTGAATCAAATTGTTGAATTACCTCCTGGCCGTGCCATCAAATTCAGGAAATCCCTGGTAACGAGCCATTCATTTGATTCAGGTGTGTTGCAACTGGGGAAGAATGTAAAAGTTGCGGGAGACTAGCTCCTAAATAAGAACTGTAGCTGGAGACTCTAGTGAGCAGGCTTTAAGTTCTGAATCTTCAAAAATGAAATAAAAAGACTGGAAGAATGAATAAATATCTGATAGTGGCTGAATTAACATGAAATGAAAGATGGATTGAGGAACAGAATAATGGATAGAGAGCTCTGTAAATATTACAGGGAAGTCGGTAAGTTTCTTTTTCTAAACTTGGAAAATACCTGAATTCCAATCTTCCTCTGGTTGTGCAGGAACATTCCTAAATCAAGCCGTTTTCACTCGGTAAAAGAAGCCATAAAAAACAGTCGCACCCAGATTTATATTTCAAGTAGCTTTTGTATTTTACTGCAACAAAAAAAAAAAAAAAAAAAAATTGCACCCAGGTTAGAAAGGAGGAAACATTTACAAATACAGGCAAACTTTGTTTACAAAACTTGGTGATCGAGGCTTAGACACAAAAGTAGAGTAGTGGTATGTTCGGTACAGAAGAGGAATTAACAAAAGCAACAACAGTACCATTGAAGTCAAGGCCGGCAGCGGTGACTTTTGTCCAAAGGCTTCGCAGTCAGGCAGGGCACAGAGGATGAGACGATTACAGCACAAATACTGAAAATGTTCCAGGGATTCAGATAAAGGGGGGGGGAAAAAAAAAAAAAAATTACGGTGGAGTCTCACGTTAGTGTCTGTAATGGTCCCCCCACCTCTCTTTCAGTCTTTTTGAAACAGCAATTGACAGACGCGTTAACATTTTAGTCCAGTGTTTCCCAAGGGGGTGTTTATTTTTTTGTGGTGGTGGAGGCCCTCTGCAACAATCGCTCGTGTGTCGGGAACAGAGGCCTGTCGGGGAAACACCGAGTTGGTCTGTTATCCAACAGCAAGGCCAGGCTGCTACTAATGGCTGTTTTCACTGGCACAGAGAGGAAAAAAATTGCATCAAAACTCCTTATACATATAAATTTAAAAAGTTTAGTCTGAGAATAAATGTAAAAAAAAAAAAAAAAAAAAAAAAAAAAAATAATCCACTGGGATGAGAATCATTAACCCAGATCCAAAAATTTTTTTTTTTTTTGGTGCTGCAAACATTTATATCCAGTAAACACCAACTCAGCCACTCTCAAGCACAAGGCAGAACTCAGCCAAAGCCATACAAACATGCTTTAACCAGTAACACGGCCTCAACTAGAACTAAATGTTACGGGAGTGGTGGGAGAAGCAAAGAGAGACAAGAGGGTCATTCTCTCCACATTGTTATTTTATGGCACAAATGGCTGCAAAATACTGCAAAAAGCACCGATACACAACAAACAGCAACACAATCTCATCTTTCAGCACGCAACCAATCAGTGACGACTGATCGAACAAGTAAAACGTGTAGAACAAAGTCAATCTACGCAGGTTTTCTCTGAATTTTTTTAAGCTGACAACAGATAAACAACTGGAAATATTTTCCAAGGCAAGTATGGATTTCATTAATTGTCATAGCAACATCACAACATCACTGAAGATGATAAAATAATATATCAGAGGCCTTTTTATAAAAATGTCAAGAGATAGAAGGGGAGGGGGGGCAAAAAATTAAATATGTAAAACATGATTATTTCAAAGATGATTGATGTAAAATTGGTCCACAGCCTAATTAAGGCTAAGATGACAATGTGCATACAAAGTTGCTGTTTCCTTTGAGTCTGTTTATGGCAACTACATGAGTCAGTAAGTGGGAGAAAACTGTAGTGTCGGCCCACACGGCTCCTCTCAATCACATTCCACCCATCAGCTCTCAGAGGGTCATGTGTCAAAGTTCATATCAGTTTCCCGTCTTGGCGCTTTATACGGCGCTACCTCTGAACAATGTCACTGATCTCTTTAACAGAGGACAGCAGCTTGGTAAAGTCCTGCTGCGCGTTGGCGCCCCCTGTGGCGGAGGGACAGATCTGAAGCTCACGCAGGCTAGTCTCGAGGTTGTTGATGGCCTCTCGAAAGGCGAACTTGTTCCTCATCTGCTGGATGGAGTCGACGTAGCTCATGCAGTACTTGGACAGATTCTTCCCGGCCTCCAGCACGCCGCTGTGGCTGCCTGTCTGCTCTGACATGCGGGAGATGGCGGCACGCAGCAGCTCGGCTCCCTCCAGGACCATCTCGCGTGTCACCGCCGAATTGGGCGTGCGCTCGCTGCCTTGGCGGGGTGTGGTCTTGCGGAGGGACGATCGGGTTTTGGCAATAGGGGTGAAAGCAGATAAGTTCTGATCGGCAGAGGAGGTGACGGTGGAGGATGGGCCTCCCTGGGTCTGGCAGAAAGAAGAAGTGGTCACAGAGGTGGCGGATGCAGAAGCCTTTATCGCTGGAGGTTTGGAGCCCAAAGGCCCCTTTTTGGGCCCCTCAGTGAAGGCTGAGCGGGCTTGGTCACTAGCAGCAGTTGTATGGTGAGGGTCTGAAATGAAAGGAAGGCCCTTAGATTTGATGTCTGAAGGTGAAGATGAGGGCGAGGATACGGGGGATTCTTGAGTGGGGCTTCGTGGGATTTTGCCTGATTTGGGACCAGTGGGTGGTGGAGGTGGAGCCGGCTTGGGTTTATGTATCTTGCTTCTCTCCCTTAAAGATGCGTTCTCCACACCATGCTTATTCCTGCGAGGCCTGCACTCCTCTCCCACTGCCCCCAGAGTAGGGAGCACATTAGCTTTTAGTTCTGCCTGGAGAGCGCTGGTCTTGGAGGTCTCCTGACCCGCTAAGCCTGGTCTCTTCACCACTTTGGGTGTCGACGCTTGCGGACTGGAACCAGAACTGGAATCATTGTCTTTACCCAGGAAGGCAGGACAAACATCCGATGATGTGTTAAGACGTGGCGGGGGGGTCAGGGTGCCCATTCGACGGGCACTCTCTCCTTTCTGCTCGTTGGTCCTCTTTCGTGGCAGAGCCGGCTTCCCTCCCAAAGTGCTGGAGTCGAAGTGGCGCTGGCCCAGG